CCTCCAAGAAGTCCTCTCAGTGGAGGACAGAGCACCTTACCCCTTACATGAAGGCACCCAGCACCCTGCTCTGAGTGGAGTCACCTGGGGAGCCAGGCTGCCACAGGTGCCAGAGGCCTCTTGTCTGGGCCTCAGCTGGGCCCCTTGTGTCTCCTTTCTCTGCCCCCAAGTTCTCCGCTGCACAGCACCCACAGTGAGAGCCTGGGCATTTCCCTGGGGCTGTGACGACCCTGCAGGTGCCCCTGGCCTCATTGACCCAGTGGAGTGAGAGGGACAACGGAGACAGCCCTGCCTTTATCAGGGGAGGGGGCAACATCACCTTTGGCCTTGAAATGATGGTTGGAATGGGTAGTACAAGGAGCGGTGACACGTTTCAGTCCACAGAGGCCATCAGAAATGGCTTGTAATCCTGATCTTGTGCACACTTAGCTGTATACAGCCAAAAGAGGAGACTCCAAAATCAGAGAAATGGTCACCTGTAATGACCCAGAGTTGCAGATTCTCGACCCGGTGTGCAGCCCGTTATTAGCTTGGTATTAGGCAGCTTACATATTTATCAGGAAAACACTCCTAGAGCAAATCTTGAAAAAGATGAAGTAGCAGGAAAATGACAGAAGAGTAATTCATTTATGTAGTCCCTAGAGACACATCACTAAAATGCTTCAAGTCAAAGACCATCCCGCTGACAATAAACTTACAATAAAAACGGGATTATAATTTTCCTGAATTTTGGATAATCTTCAAATTTCTCAAGGAACCACTGGTGATACTGCTGTGCTCGGGAGAGTAAAAAGGTAAAGAGAGTGCCTCCCCTTGGTATTTTATATTGTCTCCCCTGGTTTCCGGAGATTCCTCAGGGTATGGTCTGAATGGATGTTTATCAGCATGCCTATTAACCACAAGCAGAAACCTACTAGAAATCGGGGATCAGTGACCCAGTCATCAGCATACACCGCATACTGACTCAAGTATCTGCTTTGCAAATAGCCGTTACAGATACACAACACGAACGCCAACGTACATGCGTATAAGAGCATCGGCTTTTCTCCTCGGATCAGAAACGGGAAAAAACAAGCACCGTTGCGCGTAGTGGATGAGTAACGTGGCCAGGAGGATGCGGTTGGGCGCGTGGCGCAGGCGCTGCGGCAGCTGGTACGTGGGGCGCGGGGACGCACAGCGCCCGTACGCCCAGCGCATCAGCTGCACCGAGCCCAGCAAGCCCAGCGCGCACTCCAGGTAGGCGAACGCGTCCAGGTGGCACCCCTTGTCCGGCTCCATCGCGGGGGACAGCGGGCGCGCCCCATGGCCCAGTGTCCGGTGCGGGCCGCTTATAGAGCGGGGCGAGGGGCCGGGGGTGGGGGCTGCGCTTACCTGAGGCCAGTGCAGGCAGCAGACGCCAGGCATCGAGCCTCACCTCCGGCCCTTGCGGTCCCGAGGGCAGTCCAGATTGCAGATTTTAAAAAAGAAAGAAAGAAAGAAAACCTTTGTATTTAACCACAATTTGAGAAATACTACTCTAAAAAACAAATGATGTGATGGGATATTTACCTGGTCTTTGAAGAAATAGCTATGTGGCTTTCTGTATTGTAATTAATATGACCAAAGACTCCCAAGAAAATAAGATCGTATTTACATCCTTAATGAAAATTTCAAGGCTGGGGCACCTGGGTGGCTCAGTGGGTTGAACATCCGACTTGGGCTCAGGTCATGTCTCAGTTTGTGAGTTCAAGCCCCACATCAGGCTCACTGCTGTCAGCATGGACCCTGCTTTGGATCCTCTGCCCCACCCCCCACCCCGCTCAGGCTCTCAAAATAAATCATTTTTAAAAATTTCGAGGCTGGCTGTAATCTCCCTCCTGTAGCACTTGTTTGTCCCATCTTGGCCATATAGTAAAAATAAGACCAGTGTCTAAGAAACTGCAAAAGATAATATCTTTTATTCAGAGGTGCCCCTCTTCCACCTCTAACATGAGGGCATTAGTCATCCTGTGGGACATGCCTTACTGGCTGCAAACTCATCTATCATTTGTAACTACCTTCACTTTATCATTTTGATTTAACGATCAGATCAGTTCCAGGGTGCCTGTGTGGCTCAGTGGGTTAAGCACTGGAGTTCAGCTCAGGTCATGATCTTGCAGTTTGTGAATTCAAGTCCCATGTAAGGCTCAGTGCTGACAGCTCAGAGGCTGGAGCCTGCCTCAGATTCTGTGACTCCCTCTCTCTCTGCCCCTCCCCTGCTCATGTTCTATCTTTTGAAAAATAAATAAATGTTAAAAAAAATTAAATATAAAGATCAGATCAGTTCCAGTGCCCCACATTTTAGATAACACTTACGGTTTACTTTCTACCCTCTCAATATTTGTCCCTTCAAGCAACTCCCAGACGTAGCAGAGATCACACTTGCACATTAGACCACCACATCTTAGAAAGTTATTATCCAACATGCAACAAGAAAGTAAAATTTCACAATGGTTGAGGCTAATACCACAAATTTGTATGTTAGTTAAGCCTCTCTAATACATGCAGAGGGATCATCAATGGTAAGAAACAACTTTGGAGTGGGCACCAGTCATAGCATAGCTCTCTACCAAGCTCATTTAACAGAGACTATATTGGGAGCATTACATAAAATGGTTGCTCATGATGCTTTCAGTTGTTAAATTTAGTTAGAGGAGATATAGCAGCTGGTTATTTGGAAACACTAAAACAGTCATTAGTTATGCTCCAGAAACAGCTGCTGAAGCTTTGCCTTGGCTTTGATGATGGCACTCTGACCCAAGCAGCTGCCAGTGCAGCTGATGTGAATCTGTATTTGTTGGTATACAAAGTTATCGGTATACATCAGTGGCTAACTTTCCATGGCTTGCCAAGCTAAGAAAAATGAAACTACTGACACTGAATTAACAGTGTCAAAAATTAAGAACTTTCGTAAACATATACATTCTATAGGATCCACCCAATCCACTGCTAGGTATGTATCCAAGACAAATGAAAACGTAGATCTATACAAAGACTTGTATACAAATGTTCATGGCAGCTTTATTTGTAATAGTCCCAAACCTGAAACAACCCAATTATTCATCAACAGGTGATTGGATAAACAAATTGTGGTATGCTTACTCAGCAATAAAAAGAAACTGCTGCCACATGGATGGAGTCATGGATGGATTTATCCATGAATTCACAGATTCATGGATGGATTGATCACACAGTTGGTTAAGCAGTTAAGTCTGTTAAGTATCTAAGCAAATGAAGCCAGATACCAAAGACAATGTCTAATTCCACTTATATAAAGTTTTGAAATAAGCAAAACTAATCTATGGAAATGGAAGTCAGAAGAATGATTATCTCAGAAGAGGATGGTTATTGTCTGGGAAGAATCCCTGGGAACTTTCTGAGGGGATGGAAATATTCTATTTCTTGATCTGGATAGTAAATACACAATTATATCCATATGATGTATACTTAAGATTTTTATATTTTACCATATGTAAATTATACTCTAATATTTAAAAAGGGAAAGAGAGGGGCGCCTGGGTGGCTCAGTCAGTCAAGTGTCCAACTTCAGCTCAGGTCATGATCTCACAGTTCGTGGGTTCGAGCCCCGTGTCGGGCTCTGCGTTGACAGCTCAGAGCCTGGAGCCTGCTTCAGGTTCTGTGTCTTCCTCTCTCTCTGCCCCTCCCCCACTCACACTCTGTCTCTCTCAAAAATGAATAAACATTAAAATAAATTAAAATAAATAAAAATAAAAAAGAGAAAGAAAAAACCCTTCAGTCATTAAATAAATGGGCGGGGAAGTTTTAGAGACATGAGTCAGGGTAGAGAAAAGGGAAAAAGTAATGATGGGCAAACAGCCTGACACCTGTGGACTAATCAAGGGCCTACAAATATTTCAGACCTACGTATAGGCTTTAAGATATGAGACCTACAATAGGAAAATTAACATTTATAATCCAGTGTCTCTAAAATTCAATTTGGCCAGTTTAATTCTCAATAGTGTTTTATGTAGATATATAAAAATAATTTTGATGTAGGCTGCGCTTTTTATTGCATTTGATTTTAAGTGTGCTGAAGGCTTCATAAGTCCTGAAAGTTTATTTTGGTCTTAAAATAGCATTGCCCCTTCCTTCATTTCCTCTCTTCCTTCTGTTTTGTCTTCTTCATTCTCACACTTCTGAACTGGAAATAGTCTTCTACACCAAGGATCTTGGCCTCTGCCCTCCACATTTTAACGTGGTTCAGCATACTCAGTCCTCATTTAACTCCTTGTGAAAGGACTTTTCACTAGGCCCAGTGGCAATTTTTAGGAAAGACATGGGATTCTTTCTGATTAGAGATCTGGCCCATTTCCCCTGGTCTACAGGCCTCAAAATAATCAAATTTTCTCACAAGCTAACCAAAATCTAGATTGCTTTTAGGCAAACTTTGAGACCCAATACATTCAATGCAAAGGGAAAGTTTGATATAACATGATTAAATAAAGCATGTACTCATTCTTCTTACTTTAGCAAAACCCTGCAAACCCTTCCTAGTAATTCTTGGGGTATAGTCCATATAGAAATGGAGACTTCCAATTTATCCTTTGAAAACCATAGGACAACTAACAGTACTCTTGCATCAGAATTTCATCTGAAACTTCTGACTTTACAGATACTATATCTTTAAAAAAAAATTTTTTTTTCAACGTTTATTTATTTTTGGGACAGAGAGAGACAGAGCATGAACAGGGGAGGGGCAGAGAGAGAGGGAGACACAGAATCGGAAACAGGCTCCAGGCTCTGAGCCATCAGCCCAGAGCCCGACGCGGGGCTCAAACTCACGGACCGTGAGATTGTGACCTGGCTGAAGTCGGACGCTTAACCGACTGCGCCACCCAGGCGCCCCTACAGATATTATATCTTAATCATAGGCTTAGGAAGTATGTGATTATGCTTGTTTTTTTTTTTTTTTCAGAGCTGCTTCTTTTTGAGATTATTAAGTCAAGTTTTAGGACATCATTTGGACTTGAGAATTATATGTAATGCAATTCTATTGAAAAGAAATATAGGTACCTGATCCATGCCTCCTAACTTTATCTTTGGTTTTGCTGGGTTTTGTTTGATTCTTTTACCTCAGGTGCACATAAGGTTTTGGCTTTTTTTTTTTTTTTAAAGATGTTATTTTAAGTAATCTCTGCACTCAACATGGGGCTTGAACTCACAAAGCCAAGATCAGGAGTTGGATACTCCACTGACTGAGCCAGCCAGGTGCCCCTCAGGTGCATATAAGTGATATAAATAACAGCACTTCTACATTAGGTTACTTAGCTGGTTAGTGTACTAGATTTTGATATTATAAAATAATATCAAGATTATATTTCTTATCTATTGATATCAGGCATGGCAATGTATAAAAGTGACATAGCCAGTTCAAAGCAGAAGCTTTAAGAGCTGTTGAATGGTTTCACCATCTCTTTTTTCCCTCTGCCACAAGACTTTTATGTTCTGTGTAAGTGCTGCTTCTTCAACCTAGGTTCTGGAATAAAGGTGGTATGGAACAGAACAGCTGCCAACTTACAATGGACATGGATATGAGAAATAATTCCTTGTTGTTGTAAGTCCCTAGGCTTTTGGAGCCATTTGTCATAACATCATAATTTGTCCTAAACTGATCAACAAAGTTATTTATTTTAAATAATGTTATAGTACTCATGAACCCACCACCCAGCATATTATCTTTAACTTTGATAATAACTTATATGTTATTATATATAACCTCACCCTTACCCCTTCCTCTCCAAATGGAGCAAATATCATCCTGAATCCTGTGTTCATTAGTCCCTTGCTTTGCTTCTATGTAGTTTTACTGCATTTATATGTTTTGTTAAAAAGTATATTTTTATCAAATTATTTTTTACTTTATAAAAAGTTTAATTATATGTAATCTTTGGAATCTTTTCTAACATTATCATAAGATTTTCTGTACTGTTGTGTGACGTTGCCATTCATTTTGACTGCTATATAATTAATTCCATTGTGAGAACAAAGCACTTTCTCCAGTTGATGGACATCTGGGTTATTTCTGTGTTTTGGCTGTTGAGAGCAGTGCAACAATGTACATTCTTGTATATGTCTCCTGGTGTTCATGTGTAAGAGCTTATCTTGGGTGTATTCCTAGGAATGGAGTTCCTGGGCATGTAAATGTTCAACCACAGAAGATAAAACGAAATATTTTACAAGATGGCCTACTCATTTAAGTTCCTACAAGTAATTAACAACTGAACTTGGGAACACGCATCCTCTCCAACACTTGGTATTTGTATTGAATAGCTTCTATTTGCCCCTCCCCATCAATTCTGTACCCTTTTCACCCTACTCTATGCCCCAGAGGCTGACTTGTATGGATTTCATCAATGTCAGGTATGTATATAACAAATATACTTTCCTAATTTGTACCTTGTTTTTTGTAGTTTCTAGTTGCATCCATCTGCCTACCAGGAGATCAGAGAGAGAGAGAGAGAGGAGAGTGAATGAGGCATTTATCTCCCCACCTCCTTTTTGTCCTTGTAGAAGTGTGGTATTGACTATGTCCCTCAGCTAAGTCTCAGCTCCTGACAAGCATCCCTTCCACATAGCCCTCTCTATTTTGGGGTTCTGGTAGTCTCTTCCCCTGACTCCTCTCACGCTTAGGGTAATAATGGATCTCTGTCTCAGGATATTGTGGTTTCTCTATTACTGTCCACATTTTTATAAATAGTTCCTTTAATAATCGCTACTCAACTTACCCAGTTTGAGTGATATCTATTTCTTGAAAGGCCTTGACTGATACATTATTGTTAGACTCTAAATTTCCTAATTGGGAGGATGTAAAATGATATTTTGTTGTACTTTTGAACTTGCATTTCTCCTATCCTTAATTACATTGAATCTCTCTTCATATATTTATTGATCTCATACTTTCTTTTTTGAAATGCTTGTTTGTTTCCTGTCAATATTCCTATTGGGTTGTTTTACTTTTCTTACTGATTTTATTTTTATTTATATATTTTTTAAAGTTTATGTATTTATTTTGAAAGAGAGTGCATGTGAATGGGGAAGGGGCAGAGAGGGAGAGAGAAAACCCCAAGCAGGCTCTGTGCTATCAGTACAGAGTCCGACGAGGGACTTGATCCCATGAACCATGACATCATGACCTCAGCCAAAATCAAGAGTCAGATGCTCAACTGACTGAGCCACTCAGTGTCTCCTTGCTTTTCTTACTGATTTTAGAAATGTTTGAAATATATATATTCTTTTTTTTAATTTTTAATGTTTATTTTTTGAGAGAGAAAGAGAGTGCAAATAGGAAAGGGGCAGAGAGAGAAGGAAATACAGAATCTGAAGCAGGCTCCAGGCTCCACGCCATCAGCACAGAGCCAGATGCAGGGCCTGAAGTCACAAACCATGAGATCATGACCTGAGCCAAAGTCGGACACCCAACTGACTGAGCCACCCAGGATCCCCCAAAGTATATATATTCTTGATATCAATTCTTTATTAGTTATGTGTATGGCATATGTCTTTTCCTAATTTATAACTTTTTTTTGTTTTAAAATTTCATTTGATGGTGACTGAACACTTACTTACAATGGCCAAATATATAAATTGTTTCATTTTTAATCAACAATTTGTGTGTTTTATTTTAAGAAATATTTTCTTACCTCGATGTCTAAAAGGTATTCAACTATATATATATATTTTACCAGTGTTTTAAGTTTTAACATTAAAATCCTTCATCTATATGGCTTTATCTTTGAGTATTGTTGAAGGTTAGATCTCATCTTTTTGCCAAATAAAAAAGACAAATTTTCCAGCTCCCGATTAAACTGTTCCTTCTTTCCTCACTGGCCTATTGTCTCCAAGTGTACTGGAATGAATGGCGGCCTAGATTTACCATATTCATGGATTCTAAGATTTACCATATTCATGGATTCTAAGATTCAGATTCTAAGATTCTAAGATTGTTCAATTTTCATGTAAATTAATAAATAAATTAAATGTAATCCCCCCCAAAATTTCAGCACAATTTTTTGTGGAAAATGTCAGGCCAATTCCAAAATATATGCAGAAATGCAAAGGATCTGTATCACTAAGGAAATGTGAAGAAGCTGAAGGATTTACATTTCCAGATATCAAGACTTGTGTTAAAGTCACAGTTGGGGAAGTCTGGGTTGCTCAGTCAGTTAAGTGTCCAACTTCGGCTCAGGTCATGATCTCACAGTTTCCTGAAGTTCAAGCCCTGCATCAGGCCCTGTACTGACAGCTTAGAGTCTGGTGCTTGCTTCAGACTCTATGTCTCTCTCTGCCCCTCCCCTACTCACTCTGTCTCTCTCTCTCTCTCAAACATTAAAAAAATTTTTTTTAATAAGAAAATAAATAAATAATATAAAGTCACAGTAAACAAATCTGTAGTTTGGTGCAAAGATAAGTAAGTAGATAATAGGACAGAATAGAAAGTCCGAAAATAGACTGAACATTTTTAGACACCAGGTTTATGACAAAGAAGCCACTGAATTTCAATAGTTAAATAATGGTCTTTTCATTGCATAGTGCTAAGTCAACTGGATATCTATGTGAGGAAAAAAATGAACCTTGATCCTTAGTTCAAATTATACATAATAATTCAAAACCAATAGCAGACCTATATGTACAAGGTAAAACAAAGTTTCTGGAAGAAAACATAGGGAAATGTCTTTATGATATTGGTACGGCAAGGATTTTTTTTTAAATTTAATGTTTATTTATTTTTGAGAGAGACACAGAGAGTGGGGGGAGAGGGGCAGAGAGACAGGGAGACACAGAATCTGTAGCAGAGCCCAGGCTCTGTGCTGACAGCTCATGTGGGGCTGGAACTCACAGACCACAAGATCATGACCTGAGCCAAAGTTGGATGCTCAACCAACTGAGCCACCCAGGTGCCCCGTGGTATGGCAAGGATTTTTAAAATTGATACAAGAAACACTGACCATAAAAGAAAAAAACACTGATAAATTAGATGTCCCTAAGATTTAAGAAATTCTATTCATAAGCGATACCTTTAAAAAAGTAAAAAGTCAAGCTAGTGGGAGAAATAATTCATATCTCTGGCAAAGAATATATATCCAGAACATATATCCACAAATTAATAAAGACATACAAGCCAGTAAATATGTGGACAATATACAATAGGCACTTCACAAATGAAGATACCTAAATGGCCTATAATATACAAAAAGATATTCCACATCATTAGTTATCAGAAAAATGCAGTGTTACAACTACACTCCCAGATAACTTTTTTGCCATTGTTTTCATCAGAAAAGAATCCAAAGAGGGTCCATGCATTGACTGTTGTCTCTGAAGTCTCTCTTAATCTAGAATATTCCTTTGTTTTCACGCCATTGCTTTAATTAAACAGGTTAGTTGTCCTGAAGAAAATGCAACTTGCCTGATTGCTTCTGTTTCACATTACTGATCTTTTTCTCTACATTTTATGGGTATTGTTAGTAAATGAAATTAAACATTTGATTAGATTTTAAAAATTATTGGCTCTGTCTTTATGCTGTATAACATCAATTAGCACATAATATTTAGTTGTCCTACTTTGAGGCTGAGATTGACCAGTGATGAAACTGATCTTTCCACTTAAAATTAAAAAACTTTTTAATGTTTATTTATTTTTGAGAGATACACACACAGTGCGACTGGGGCAGGGGTAGGGAGAGACAGAGACAGAGAATCCAAAGCAGGCTCCAGGCTCTGAGCTGTCAGCACAGAGCCCAGTGTCGGGCTCCAACCCACAACTGGGGGGATCATGACCTAAGCTGAAGTCTGATGCCTAACCAACTGACCCACCCAGGCGCCCCTGATCTTTCCACTTTAAAGTTATATTTTAGGGGTGCCTGGGTGGCTCAGTTGCTTTAGGGGCCAGCTCTTGATTTCAGCTCAGTTCATGATCTCATGGTTTGTGGAATCAAGCCCCACATCAGGCTCTGCACTGACAGCATGGAGCCTGCTTGTAATTCTCTGTCTCCCTCTCTCTCTGCTCCTCCCCTGCTCATGCTCTTTCTCTCAAAATAAATAAATGTTAAAAAAATCATCAGGGTGATATTCTAATAACTTAAAAAAAATAAAGTTGTATTTTATATAGGGTGACACGTTGGTATCCTAAAACTACCCATTTCTCAATCACCCTTTATTTAGAGTTTTAGTATTCATTGATACTTACCGCTTGAATCAGTTACTTCATTGAGGTTGTAAAATGTTGATTTTTCTAATTCTAGCATTCTTCTTACAATTGTTAACTAGAGCTATTCTGTATAGAACTTTTCTTTATAAATTATTTAGCTATTTTATACCTTTACTAGGACTATTTGGTACTATGAAATACAATTCATATGGAGAAAGCAAAATAAAATTTTAATTCTCTTTAATTATGTTTTTATTTTTATTTATTTTTATTTATTTATTTTTTAATAAATGAAATTTATTGTCAAATTGGTTTCCATACAACACCCAGTGCTCATCCCAAAAGGTGCCCTCCTCAATACCCATCACCCACCCTCCCCTCCCTCCCACCCCCCATCAACCCTCAGTTTGTTCTCAGTTTTTAACAGTCTCTTATGCTTTGGCTCTCTCCCACTCTAACCTCTTTTTTTTTTTTTTTTCCTTCCCCTCCCCCATGGGTTTCTGTTAAGTTTCTCAGGATCCACATAAGAGTGAAACCATATGGTATCTGTCTTTCTCTGTATGGCTTATTTCACTTAGCATCACACTCTCCAGTTCCATCCACGTTGCTACAAAAGGCCATATTTCATTTTTTCTCATTGCCACGTAGTATTCCATAGTGTATATAAACCACAATTTCTTTATCCATTCATCAGTTGATGGACATTTAGGCTCTTTCCATAATTTGGCTATTGTTGAGAGTGCTGCTATAAACATTGGGGTACAAGTGCCCCTATGCATCAGTACTCCTGTGTCCCTTGGATAAATTCCTAGCAGTGCTATTGCTGGGTCATAGGGTAGGTCTATTTTTAATTTTCTGAGGAACCTCCACACTGCTTTCCAGAGCGGCGGCACCAATTTGCATTCCCACCAACAGTGCAAGAGGGTTCCCGTTTCTCCACATCCTCTCCAGCATCTATAGTCTCCTGATTTGTTCATTTTGGCCACTCTGACTGGCGTGAGGTGATACCTGAGTGTGGTTTTGATTTGTATTTCCCTGATAAGGAGCGACGCTGAACATCTTTTCATGTGCCTGTTGGCCATCCGGATGTCTTCTTTAGAGAAGTGTCTATTCATGTTTTCTGCCCATTTCTTCACTGGGTTATTTGCTTTTCGGGTGTGGAGTTTGGTGAGCTCTTTATAGATTTTGGATACTAGCCCTTTGTCCGATATGTCATTTGCAAATATCTTTTCCCATTCCGTGGTTGTCTTTTA